ATAGTTAATATCGCACGAAGAGTGCCGTTTTTTCCTCCAAAAATCAGCATGATTACAAATGTGATATTGATTTTAAACAACAGTTCAATAAAAAAGAAGTTAATATTAAGAGACTTATGTTTTAGACACCATATTTCCTGTTTTTGCTCTATTTCGACAACAAAAATAATTCCAAACAAAGCAACAGCACTGTTTCGTGTCTCTGAGCAACATGACAGTGTTTCGTTCCTGAATGAATCAACCGTTTAAATCAGGGGTGTCAAACTCAATTCCTGGAGGGCCGGAGCCCTGCAGTTTTGTTCCAACCCTGCTCTGACACACATACCATGTGGTTTTCAAATAAGCCTGAACGACTTGATTAGTTGGATCAGGTGTGTTTAATTAGAGTTGAATCTAAACTCTGCAGGGCTCCGGCCCTCCAGGAATTGAGTTTGACACCCCTGGTTTAAATGATTTGGTTCGATCGCAGTGACTCACTTATTAACAGTGACTTGCTGCCACCTACTGGCGGTTTTAATTTCGCATTTAAAGTATCTTTTCTTTTTTTTTTTATAATTTCAAATATCAGTATTCAACGTTTTATATTTACAGTATTAAAACATTATATATGCATGTGTAACTGCAGGTTAAATGCATTTATGTCCTGCATTAAGCAGTGTGTAAATGCATCTAAATGCCACTTCAGATGCAGCTTCTGTTTCCTCTGCATTGCAAAGATGAATTTTGTTGATACTGATTTAATTTGCTTGATAACAGCCCAAATGTCTTATTATTGTAATTGACTGACTAAATGAAAGAATTTGACTCAAATGATGATGCACACTTAATGGCTTAATTGTAAAAATGACCATAAAAGGTCAAAATCAATTTAAACTTATTGGAAAAGATTAATTTCTATCACTGTTGTGAACTGACCACCACACAGAATATGAAGAATATCAAAGTCAGCTGTCCACGGTAGTCCTTAAGACTACCAACACAATAACACAAGATCAGCACAATAGCAGAGACACACAAAGCCTGTGGCAAGCCATTCAGACCATCACTGACTACAAGCCCCCGGCACAGGCCTTGGCTCTTACCAACCTAGAAAATAAAGACTCCTATGTTAGAATGCTATTCATCAACTTCGAAACAATAATCCCACAACAGCTCATTGATACACTAAACCTGCTGGGCCTTACCAATTCCCTCTGTAATTGGATCCTAGACTTTGTAACTAGAAGACCTCAGTCAGTCCGTGTCGGCCACAACACCTCGAGCACTACCACACTGAGCACAGGTGCCCCACAAGGCTGTGTGCTCAGCCCGCTGACCCCCCACTGACCATCGACAGCTCGACTGTGGAGAGAGTCAGCAGCACTAAATTCCTGGGGGTGCACATCACAGAGGATCTCACCTGGACCACCAACACCATGTCACTCTCCAAGAAGGCACAACAGCGCCTACACTTTCTCCGCCGGCTGAAAAGAGCAAGTCTCCCTCCACCCATCCTCACCACATTCTATAGGGGTACCATTGAGTGCGTGCTGACCAGCTGCATCACTGTCTGGTATGGGAACTGTAGTGCAGCAGACCGCAAGACCCTCCAGCGGACAGTGAACACAGCTGCAAAGATCATCGGTGCCCCTCTCCCCTCCATCCTTGACATTTTCCTTCACGATACTGTTGGCTTTGCTGGAGTATCGTGTAAGGACCCCACCCATCCCTCCCACAGTCTCTTCCAGCTCCTACCATCAGAAAGTCGGTACCGGAGCATCAGAGCCCGCTCCGCCAGACTGCTCAACAGCTTTTTCCCCCGGCTGTGTGAGCCCTGAACTAAAATCCCCCCGCCCTCCTCTGAAACCCCACACAACCCCCTACCTCCTGAAACATGGACCATCTCACCAACCTTACCACATCACAAAAAACTGTCTGAAACAATTCGAAGTCCCCCCCCCCCTCTGAAACCCCATACAACCCCCCTACCTCCTGAAACATGGACCATCTCACCTCCTCCACCCCCAACCTTACCACATCACAGGAAAAACTGTCTGAAACTTTCTTTTTTTGTGCAATTCGAAGTGCGCTACACACAGGTGAGTGGGCCTGTACAAACCACCTGTAGTAACACACTCTCCTCTATGCGCACTAGACACTTTTCACCCACACTGTTGTGTACATAATCCCACAAGACTCGATAACAGTGAAGCATTCGTATAGTTTGTATTTTTTAGTTTATGTATTGGTAAACATTTATATATAGTATATTTATAGTCAAAATTTGTCAGTAGGTTAGTTGTGAAATAGGTTTGTACTGTTTTATTTCATTGTTGTGTGAGGCACGACATTTCGTTCCACTGTATGTCCCCACATGTAGCGGAACGACAATAAAGCTCAACTTTAACTTGATTTGATAACACACTCAGCAAAATATCGTCTAATTATCATTATAGATAAAATCCTAGAAAACATCATTTATCAATATCGCACACCCCTAGCTGCCACGCAATTGGCAGAGCTGAATGTAAAATTTAACACCGCATACAGCATCCTAACCTTCGCCAAAGAGGAGCTCTCTCTCTCTCTCTCTCTCTGTGTTTAACCCAACTCAGATTAACTTTAGGTGGTTTACGAAAGAAATCTGTCAGTGTTTCTTTTCATTTTCTCTCTTCTTCAGACCTTTGTATTTCCCGCGGTAGTTAGCTCCCCGTCACCTGACGGCAGAAAGAGTGATTGACAGCTAATATTAACCAATCTAAAATCTGCATTAAAGTTAAGAATGTAAAGATGATATATGTTAATGATTGACAGCTAATATTAACCAATCTAAAATCTGCACTAAAGTTAAGAATGTAAAGATGAAATATGTTAATATATAATTTGTAGTTGTGGTGCTCATTCATTTTTGGCAGGTGCTCCTAACTTTTTAAAGTTGGGAGCACCAGTGCTACAAAGCAAAAAAGTTAATTTCGAGCCCTGCTAATCTAATCAGCATAACTATTTCAACACTCATCACAGAGATCAGGGTCACACCTACAGACATCACATTCACACTTAACCCAGGTACTGATTAGCATGAACAATGACCATCAATTAAAGTAATGGAGCAGAAGCAGCAAGAGGCAATAAAGACAAAAGGTGACAGACAGACTCACCTACCACGATTTTACATCTGCATTCACACACACCTAAAACAAGAGATTCCTTTTAATATTTAAATGCATTTTATCCTTCTGCTCACTTTCTAAGGCTGTGGTTTAATTTTGACCCAAATAATTGTGACTTAATTGATGTGCATTTGTAAGAAAGTAAACATTTATTATTTGGAAGTATTTTGTAGAACATAAATATAAATTATATAAATGAACACTGATTATATAAATTATATTCTTACAAAATTCTTTATGCATAAAGCTAAATTTATACCTCAATTAATCCAACTGCAGACAACTGGAGATAAATATTAGTTCAGTAATATTTATTAAAAGTTATTGAGATTATTGGAACATGTCTATTGAATTTATTGATGTTTTATATAATTTTAATTTTTACGATGGCCCAATAAGTTAAATGTAAAATCATCAGTCAGGAGATTTCTGAATTTCATTCCGTACCTTCAAATGATGTCTGTTGTTCTTTAGAGAGTCAGAGGAGCTTTTTTGTCATTTCAGCTCTTAACAGCCTGTACACACTGAAACGAAACTGGTGCTGCTACTTAAGACGCCCCTAATTCTGTCATTAATTACTCACCCTCATGTTGTTCCAAACCCGTGAGACCTCCGTTCATCTTCAGAACACAAATTACGATATTTTTGATCAATTCAGAAAGCTGACCCTCCAGAGACAGCTAGAAACTACCACGATCAAGGCTCATAAACGTAGCAAGGACAAAATAGTCCTTGCTCGCGCTTTCTACTGAACAGAAACGAGTTGTATTGATTTAAACATTCGAATAAAAGCGCTCACCTTTCTTCAGCCGCGGGAGCGCGGCGCAGCCTTATGACGTCACATCGCCAGACCAAAATAAAAGTATTTTTTTCGCTCTATTTAACCTTCGAATAACAAACAGGCATTGTCATCTTTATATTGCTAAACACATTAACAATAAATCCAAGCTGCATATAATAAACAATATAATACTAAAAAAGTAAACATTAAAATAATACTAAAAGCAAATTATAACAAATTAAATTACATTTCAGGAGGGGTCAGTCCATGTATGTTGACCAGTTTAGAGAGTTTTAAGGCACTCTTCGCTTTTAAATGTTTTATGGATTGAAATAAAATTCTAAAATATGTTGTAAATGCTGTAAAACAAGGAGAAGCTTTAACAAATCTACATTTGTGTGTATAAAACTTTGCTACAATCAACCTATTGCACAAAAATTCAATCTCTTTGTTTTGCATAAAGAAACCAGATTTAACAATGTGATAGTCAAATGTGATCGACATTTTTCATCTTCAGCCACTCGTACAATCTGTCCCAAAAGAATCTAACAATAATACAACTGTAAAAAAAGATGTTCCTGAGATTCAATATCTTTCAAGCATAAAGTACATACGTTACTGTCCAAATCAATACAAATTCATTACATGAGTAAATGTCATTAATTGTTTTGAAATGTCCTTCTTTAATTTTAGGTAGCAAGGGGAATGACAGGGATCTCCTTCTAACTTTAATAGTGTCAGCTTTTGAAAACCTCTCCAGTTGTACTATTGTTAGATCCTTTTGGGACAGATTGTATGAGTGGTTGAGGATGAAAAATGTCGATCACGTTTGACTATCACGTTGTTAAATTTTGTTTATTTATGCAAAGCAAAGAGATTTAATTTTTATATACACAAATTTAGAGTTGTTAAAGTTTCTCCAAGTTTCATTTAAATGTAATTTAATTTGTGTTATAATTTGTTTGTTTTTTTTGTATTATTTTGTTTATTATATGCTGCTTGTGTTTATTGTTAATGTGTTTAGCAATATAAAGAGGACAATGCGTTTGTTATTCGAAGGTTTAATCGAGCGGGAAAAAAAAGACTTTTATTTTGGTCTGGCGATGTGACGTCATAAGGCTGCGCCGCGCTCCCGCGGCTGAAGAAAGGTGAGCGCTTTTATTCAAATGTTTAAAGTGTTTAAATCAATACAACTCGCTTACGTGGTTTGCCATCCGCCATAAAACGTTATTAGAAGAAGAACTCGCTTACGTTCAGTAGAAAGCGCGCGCGTGCTTAACTTAAACAACGCTGATTACTTTTGCTGCGTCCAATTCGCATTCTATCCGTCCTAAATAGTATTCGAAAATAGAATTAGTATGTCCCAAATCATAGTATGTTGAAAAGTATGCCAAAGATTCCCGGATGGTCTGCAACTCGCGATACGCATAAAAAGTGTTTAAAAACTACAAACATGGTGGATATGCGAGGCCAACGGACAGGCAGAGAAAGTTTGAGTAATAAATAATCAATGTCTAACCTGATTAAAAATGTCTATGTAATGTTATGCACGTTATATTTCATCTGCAGCAACACTGTGAACTTTTATAATAATACGTTTGGTCTTTAACTTTTAAATGCATCATTATTCTTCACTAAAAGAGTACATACTTTTAGGGCGTAGTATAAGGGGGGAGGGTTGTTGAATAAATTATGTTACTATTGTTTTCTTTGCGCTCAAAAAGTATTATCGCTTCTTTGTAAAATTATGCTTGAACCCCTGATTTTACATGGACTATTTTACCGATGTCCTTGCTATGTTTCTGTGCCTTGCTGTCTATGAAGGGTCAGAGAGGTTTTCTGAATTGATCAAAAACATCTTAATTTGTGTTGCGAATATAAACAAAGGTTTTACGGCTTTGGAAAAGACACGGGGGTGAGTAATTAATGACAGAATTTTCATTTTGGGGTGTCTTAAAGTCCCCTGTGGTGAAAAATCAAGTTTTTTATGTTGTTTATTTGTGTATGTAGTGTTTTTAATATGCTTTTAGACAAAACATGTGCCAATCCATTTATTAACACCATTGCTGAGTATTTTCTCCTTAAAACTGTAGTTTCCCAAAGGCAGTTGCAGAAAGGCGGTTTGAAACAGCCTTTTTTTGCTACGTCACAAAATTCAATAACCAATTGCGTCAAGGGATCCTCCGTTACACTCACCCCCCTAATCCTCACTCCCATCCGGGTCACGGCACCAATGTAACCCCTCTCTCCCAGGTCCTCACAGCCACACCTCGTTCTTGTTTTGAGTGGGTCTCGAACCCGGGTCTCCGGCATGGGAGGTGAACGCACTAACGAGGAGGCTAAAGACTGCAGCCATTAGCGTCAGTCGCTAGAGCGTCTCTTGACATCAGGGAGTGAGGTTTACCTGCACAGCACCTACTCGCTGGCCTCCGTTACAAAAGCAGAGGGTCTAGTGAGAAGGCAGCCAGATTAATCCGGTAACAGTTATATTTGTTCTATAGATGTTTCGCTAACTGTTAATATTTCCCCATATTTTCACGATGTCATGTGCTGTTAGCGCTTATTTATTTGTATTTAGAATCGCTAACTTGAATAATAACCCGCGGCAGCAGTGTAAAAGTAGCCCGGAGTCAGACGCACGTCACGCGCGTATGATCGCGGGCGCGATTTGGGATCACAAACTTGGCTGCATTTGAGTCTTCAAGGCATTTTGAGGACACAACATCGTCAAGTAAGTAAATTTAACGAATGTTATAGTATCCACTGTAGTTCTCCGCTAGTAAAAACATAGTTTTAGCAGTCATTATCCGCGTACGATCCAGTGCAAACCGATAATGTTACCTCATGAAGTTAGCCATCAGTCTCCTTGCTTACGTTGAGCATACCAGCTTATTTCTGGTTCAAACACATATGGCTTAATCAATGTATCCAGTAAATGAGGCAAGGGTGTAGAGTTACATTCAAGCTATTTTAAAGGTATAGTTCACCCAAAAATGAAAATGTGATGTTTATCTGCTTACCCCCAGGGCATCCAAGATGTAGGTGACTTTGTTTCTTCAGTAGATAACAAATGAAGATTTTTAACTCAAACCGTTTCAGTCTGTCAGTCATATAATGGAAGTGAATGGGAATCACGGCTTTGAGAGTCAAAAAAAACACACAAGCTATTTTAAAGGTATAGTTCACCCAAAAATGAAAATGTGATGTTTATCTGCTTACCCCCAGGGCATCCAAGATGTAGGTGACTTTGTTTCTTCAGTAGATAACAAATGAAGATTTTTAACTCAAACCGTTTCAGTCTGTCAGTCATATAATGGAAGTGAAGGGGAATCACGGCTTTGAGAGTCAAAAAAACATACACAAACGAAACCAAATTAAACCCTGCGGCTCGTGACGATACATCGATGTGTAAAGACACGAAACGACCGGTCTGTGCAAGAAACTGAACAGTATTTATAGTGTTTAATTTTTTTACCTCTGTTTTACCGCAATATCCAAACTCTACTGAGCGCGCGTTCACGTCTTCTTCAGCTGGCGCGTGACGCGTCTTCTTGTTCTTGCTTTACGGCGGATCGCAGACTTATAAGTGCATTACCGCCACCTATCTCTCAAATGGACCATTGGCACTCTATCTACAATCAATTAGGAGTGTCAATGGTCCATTTGAGAGATAGGTGGCGATAATGCACTTATAAGTCTGCGATCCGTTAGCTTTAGGTGGAGCATAACGAAAGTTTTCTGGCAAATCAGCAGTCTCACACACGAATTTAACCTTTTTCAAGTTTCATTGTGAACTTGCTAAATAAAATAGTCAAATGTAAAAACGCATCTATGCTTACGAGATATATTTAATCAAAAGAATCCCGTACATCCACATCTCTCGGTAAATAATCCATTGTGATTTGCAGTTATCACAGCCCAGAGCACAGCACGGCAGACTGACGGAATTGCAATTCGGTCCTACAAATGTCGGCCGCACCACTGTGACGTCACATGAAACCTATGAATATGTGGTTATTCGTGGGGTAACTGGAAAAGTTATATGAACAGATTTTTATATAAACAATTTCTAAAAACTTATTTTAAATTTTTATAGAAATGTACAAATATTTTTTAAGCTTATATATACACGTTTATAATTGACACAAACACTTAATAATAATAAAATAATAATAAATATTCATTTTAAACGCATGCATTTTGTAATGCTTTGGGCTAATGTTTAGTAATCTCTCTAATCAAGAGACTTTTACTGCTGGGGACTGGTAAGTAAGGGATAGATTACACTGCCGTGTATTGCCATGGCACTGCACCAGCAGGTAAGGAGAAGTATGTGATATAAGTGGCCCTCAATGAAAGTGCTTCCCTTGAGGCGCTGTTGCTGCCCATCCTTAAAAGATGTTGTATTGTTGGTTGTGCCTCTGCTGGAACATTGGCCTGACATTCGTCGACTTCTTCATCACTAGCTTTCCACCACAGAAAGTTGTGAAGTATACATGTTGCTTTAACAACATCCTCAGCCACCCCAGGAGAAACACCAATGATTCTGCGGTAAAGCCTCCACTGAGTGGTGAGGATACCAAAGGCACACTCCACTGTCTTTCTGGCATGTGACAAATGGATGTTGAACGCTCGTTGTTCTCCCTCTGTGTGTCCAGGATAGGGCCTCATTAGGTTTTAAGTTGAGAGTTCCATGACGTAGGGTTCCCCCATCACTGCTCCTATCAAAGGCTCCTACATCCACCACCCTGAAGCGCCAGTGTGAATCAACCACTGCCAGCAAGACAACTGAAAACGTAACCTTTGTAATTATACAATTGTGATCCTGTGTTGCTCGGGGCTTGTATGATCACATGTTTGCCATATATAGCAACACAACAATTTCGAAAAGCCCAAAGCCGATGAAAGTCCTCCGCAATTTCTTTCCAATCCTCTGCTCCTGGGCTGGGCATAAACTGGAGGACAAGACAATCCCAGATGGACCTGCTCACACTCTGTACAATGCCTGCAACAGTGGAATTTCCAATCTTATAATTAAAAGCTATGGGATGGTAGGAGTCACCAATATCTGAAATGGGAACATAAGAAACAAATAGTCAGTTATTTTTGGCACAAAGAATAATAATTAATAACTAATTATTTCTGTACAGTTTTGATAGATAGATAGATAAGATTCACTATACTCACCGAAGACAAATACAGAGCTGCTGTGCAGGGGATATAGTCTCCCTGTAATTTGTCTCCATCTTTGTAATGCTGGGTCCTACCATGCTCAGGAGGTCTTCAAATTGCTGGGTAATAAGCCTAAAATACACTTTAAACTTAGCGCCATCTAGCTTCAGCTCTTGAACAAGCTGATGGTATTCCCCGTATTTATGTCTGCATTGGAGGGTGGGGTGAACCCAAACAGATCTCTGTCCTTTTGTTCTCTGAGCAGCAACACCATTTTTATGAATGTCAAATGCCATAGCCAGTGCAATTATTTTCTTTTTTTCCCCATGTCAAAATTCGTATCTATCAATTCTGCTTTTTGCCTATTTCTATTATTGTCGTTATTGCATCACATCCCTCGCGGAACCCTCGCATTCTACGCTGCGCTTTTTAAAAAGCCATTCCTGATCGCTGCGTCTCACGTTTTTAGACGCAAAGACACTTTCTGTGTGAATGGCCCTCAATGCTACAATGACAAAGTTGCTTATGTTAAACATAAAACTTTTATGAACAGAACAAATAAGACTGATGTACTTGCGTTGTAACACACATACATACAAAACTTTTGGATTTTCCCCTTACTTTAAACGAATGCTTATGGCTCATAATTATTAATGAAAAAAACAGTCTATAGTCTACAATAAAATAGTACAATGACAAATGTAGCTATATTAATCTTTGAACTTTTATTAACAAAATGAATAAAGATATATTTTACCCTCATTTAACACAAATATGGATTTCCCCTTAGGCTACCTTAAAACGATCGTAGTTTGTGGTTTATTATCTTGTTAATTAAATTCGCATAGGTTATATTAAACATCTAACTTTTATTAACAAAATGAGTAAGATGGATATAGCCTTGCGTTGTAACCCAAATAAATAAGGTCTAAAGACACTCACTTATATTAAACACAGAAATTTGCGTTTTAGGATCCGCCATCATATGTCAATCTTCGCATTATACAACCCCACCTCTCAAAATACATTCCCGCAGCTATGTATAAAGATACTTAAAGGGATAGTTCACCCAAAAATGAAAATTCTGTCATTAATTACTTGATCGTGCAAGGACCCTTGCTGTCTATGGGAGGGTCTGAGAGCTCTCAGATTCCATCGAAAATATCTTAATTTGTGTTCCGAAGATGAAAAGAGGTCTTACGGGTTTTGAACGACATGAGGGTGAGTAATTAATGACAGAATTTTCACTTTTGGGTGAACTATCCCTTTAATTATTAACTGGAAATATCATAAATGCTCTGTAGTTAATAGGGAATTGAGAGCACTCCACACTTGCTTATATAAGATCTATGTTGTTGATAACTTAAGGAATCTGTGATTAATCTTTTACAGATCTATGTAACACACTATTATAAAGATGGCATTTATTAAAGTGGAGAGTGAAGACATGAAGATTGAAGAATCATTCAGAGTCAATCATGAAGATACTGAGGAACAAATAAAGATGGAGTTGATTAAAGAGGAGAGTGAAGACGTGAAGATTGAAGAAACATTCAGAGCCAAACATGAAGATACTGAGGAACAAACAGGTTGGTTTTCATTCTCAAAGCTGAACTCACTCATTTGATCCTTATTAAAATGCCCAACTCTACAGAAAGGATTTTGAAGAATGTCACATGAGTTTTGAAATTAAAAATGTTGTATTTGAAATGGAGCGGGTCGCATCGTGTTGGGGTTGCCACCTTCATTCAGCGAGGCAAAAAAAGGGACCCCCCCCCCCATTTCTATCTAAATAATTGTATATTACATATTATTATGCATTTATGAATAATAAATAGGGTCTAACATTAGTTATAATATATGAATTCATCTGTCTAATAATGTCTAAACATATAATAATTATGTCTACCAAGCTCTGATAATGTATGGAATATTATATTAACAGACTGTCCACATTTTAATAAAACAATAGGCCAATGTCTCTTTAAAGGTATGGTTACCCAGGTTGTTATAAATCTGCATAAAGGTCTTTCTTTCTGTTGAACACAAAAGAAGATACTTTGAAGAGTGTGGGTAACTAAACAGCTTCTGGTCCTCAGTAGGTGCGTTTCCATTACAGATTTGCGCAAAACTTTGGCGATATTTGATAAATGTCAATAAAAAAGTATTGCGAAATGATGGCGTTTCCATTAACCAATGTTATGCGACTAAAACTTAACCTTTTGCCTCTCGCGGTAAGTCGTGGCAACGGATTTTGGTGGGATTTTGGCTATATTTATTCCAAGGAGGCGTATGTGTGTATCTTTACAGAAGCAGCACAGAGAGCCGCTTCAGAAACGTGTGTGGCACGGCTGGAATAATCACAAGCATTGCTAGTGGCCGCAATCAGCTTCAGTGACCGTATCAGAGCCACACTGCACCGCAGACGTGTGCAGTGTAAATTATCTAAGCATTAACATTAGGGAAAGCCCCTTATACTGGAGAGCGGCCACGTATGATGTGTTTCTTGGAGGTTATAGTACATTGAAGAATGATCATGACTTTTTACATACGTCATGTGACCTGTAAATGCGAAAAAGACGTTTCCATTGCAGTTTTGAGAATTATTCATTTTTCGCATTGCCTGAAAAACCACCTCATGCGAGCGTAAAAACCTTTTTACGATATATGGGCGTTTTTGCGAAATTGACGCGTTTCCATTAGGCATATTTTCAATTCGCAATTTCAATTTGCGCAATTTGAAGGGTAACGGAAACGCGCCTAGTAACTTCCATAGTAGAGAAAAAAAATACTATCAGAGTCATTGGAGACCAGAAACTGTTTGGTTACCCACATTCTTCAAAATATCTTCTTTGATGTTCAACAGAAGACAAAAATTATTATAGGTTTGGAACAACTTGTGGGTGTGTAAACGATGACAAAGTGTTTTGACAGTCCACCGTGAGCAACTGAAAGCTTCTCTGCAAACTGCGCGTTCATCATTAGTTGCTGGACAGAGCCATTGATAACTTTCCCATTCAGCCCTATATCTGGAGAGCCTTGTGTTCAAAGGGCAGATGTGAGCTCCTGATGTTTTAAACTGCGCATGTTTAGCGCATGCTGCTTTAACGGCGCGCGATCTGTAGTCTCCGTCGCTATGGAAACAAAGACGCCAAAATGCAATCACGCGCAAATTGGCTTCTCTAATACTTCATTTCAAATTTCATTATAATTGCTATTAGTATTATAAACAGTGCAAAATACTTATTTGTTGATTCAACTTTGGCCTTTGTAAAATACAGGAAAAATTGTAAAACATAATTTTACCTTTAAATATGGGACGATTCCATACTTTTAGGGAAGGGTGGCAACCAGGGGCGGCGTTTCCGTATGGCAGTTGCCGTACCCTAGCCCAGTCAGGTGTGCCGTGAAAAATTATCCAAACTTCACATCTCTATTATAATTCGTTATTATTAAATAATAAAAATCAGAGGGTTTTACAAATATTTAACCAATGCTAAGTATTACAAAGGGCTTCTCAGTAAAACTTCGTAACGCTATTGGATCCTCAAGCTCTCAGCGAAACCTCGTAACTTCACCCCGCCTTCATTCAGACAGATAAAATAAATAACTGATGTTTGAATAGTAAAGTGTTTTAATCAGGATGGAATCCTATACCCAGAAGAAAAAGAAGTAAAGCGTTTTCTTCAAACACTATGTCTGTAAAAGGCTAATGTTTTTGTGTGTTCGAAGAGCGGAAAAGTAGGTTATTTGCCGTCTAGCCAATATACTTTTGTAGGCCTACGTTTTAAATATCCTGTGCATAAGCGCTTAATCGTTTATATCATGAGATTTTGGCCAAGTGTAGGCCTTAAACAACAAGAAAAACTAAGCGCCCATATAGCAACAATAATTTAACGTTATATAACCTGTAAAAGTTGATGAAAGCGTATAATGCGATGCACTTGCCTCAGATGCGGCCGTTCTACTGACAGACAAAACACAGATCTCCGCAATCGCCGGCCAAAAACCTTGTCAACTCCATTTGAACTTGTTTTTCATATAGCCTGTTAAGTGCAAGTGTCTGATACAATACCAACACTGACGACGCAGTGTTGTTTAATTATTTACTTTTTTTAACTTGCTTTCTTCCCCCTGTAGCCCACGCGCCATACCCTATGGTTTTGTGAAACGCCGCCACTGGTGGCAACCCTACATCGTGTGGACAGACATGTTGAGATCACATGAGCCATTACCATTAAACTTTGCTCTTTTTTTATCATCATCACTTCGAATAATGGGAAGAAATTTTAAGATCACATTTAACACTAGAGGTCGACCGATATTGGTTTTTTGACAGCCGATGCCGATATCTTGGGTGGCCAATGGCCGATATAAATCCGATATAACTTTAATTTATACAAGAAATTTGAAATAATTTGAAAATGGATTAAAAAATAAATGTGTGAAATAAACGTGCTTATGCTTAAAATGACAAATTATTTTTCACAAATAAATATTTAATACAAATATAATTAAAAAGGAAGTAAACACTGTAACCAACAGGGCACTCAGTCTTCTGGGAAGTTTGTGTGCATTGGGAATCATATTTTTTAAAATAAGGCCAAGGTAACACTCATTTTACATACAGCACACAGTGAAAATGACGTGAAAATGACAGTGGGCAAAAGCATGAAGCGCAGCTTAATTTGAATTCACGAGTTTGAAGTTTGTCTATCGCGCGTCTCCAGTCAGGCAGAACTCTCCTCCTGTCAGCATTCAATTCACACGGATCGACCGTCACGCAGAGAACACGAGATTATGCAGGATACAAATGCAAACTTCACAAGATCTCACAACTGGATTTAACTAAGTTTGCAAGGTTTTTGAAAGTAGATGTTCAGTAGTTATTCAAAGATTTGTTTAAATTATATAAATGCGTATTTGCTGAATTCTGACGGCAAACGAGAAAGTATTATAATGTTTGCCTTTCTAATACTAACAATATAAAAGCAATCGTTATAATACAGACCTCTGTCCGTATTAGACAGAACTGTTAACGACAACAGTGAAGTAGTAGAGGGAGAACTGTGTGCTCAGGCGCTGCCGTTATCAGCGCTGTCAAAATAAAAGTCTGGCGTGCCGTCAAAAAATAAAGGTCCCGCTACGAATGCATCGGCCAAACAGAAAAACTTATCGGCCGATTCCGATATTTGAAAAATGCCAAATATCGTCCGACCACTGTTTAACACCTCCTTTAATAGCTTGGTGTGTATAAGATCTACATGTTGTTGGTTTTGATGTTTGTTCTTTGTGCCATTAAAAATGGTGTTAATCTGGATTTGTCTTTTATGCATTAGACCTGATGACACTGAAAGAGGAGAGTCAAGAACTCAATGAAAAGGAAGATAATGTTCAGCATGAGAAATATAATTTCATGACTGAAGAAAAAACATTTAGTTGCTCACATACTGAAAAGACTTCACAAAAAAGAGCTCAAAAGACAGCAAATAGAAGTTATTTCACCTGCCAACAGTGCGGGAAAAGTTTCACCAGAAAAGGAAATCTTGAAGTCCACATGAGAGTTCACACTGGAGAGAAACCTTTCACCTGCCAACAGTGTGGGAAGAGTTTCATTAATAAAACAAACCTTAAAAGCCACACAAGAATTCATACTGGAGAGAAACCTTACACATGCTCTCAATGTGGAAAAAGTTTTAAACATAAACAACACCTCGATGACCACAAGATAATTCATACTGGAGAGAAACCTTTCACCTGCCAACAATGTGGAAAGAGTTACACTCACAAAAGAAACCTTAGAGACCACATAAGAACTCATACTGGAGAGAAGCCTTACACATGTTCTCAATGTGGAAAAAGTTTTAATCATAAACAACACCTCGATGACCACATGAGGATTCATACTGGAGAGAAACCTTTCACCTGCCTTCAATGTGGAAAGAGTTTCACTCACAAAGGAAACCTTAGAGACCACATGAGAACTCATACTGGAGTGAAGCCTTTCACCTGCAAACTGTGTGGAAAGAACTTCATTCATAAACCAAACCTTAAAAATCACATGAGAATTCACAGTGGAGAGAAACCTTACACATGTTCTCAATGTGGAAAGAGTTTTAAACAAAAACAACACCTCGTTGACCACATGAGAATTCATACTGGAGAGAAACCTTTCACCTGCCAACAATGTGGAAAGAGTTTCATTCAAAATGGAAACCTTAACAAACACATGAAGATTCACACTGGAGAGAAGCCATGAGTTTCAAAAGTAAAGTAGCTCTTTAACGTGTACAATCACACCGGAGTGATTATTGTTCAGTTTGTCATGTGATTAACTGATAAATTCAGATATGCTTTCGTGTTTGGCTGGTTTTGAGCCAGAGATGGACGTTGTGCTCAGTGCTTGTCATATCCCTTATGAAAGTTAACCATGCTTTTACTATAGTAAAACTGTAATAACCATGACTGTAGTAACCACAATTTTACTAAAGCAGGTTGAATTACATTTAACAAAAGTTGTGCAATGAACTTCTACCAAATAAAAAGGTAACACTTTATTTTAAGGGTCCAGAATAATGCATTAGTTAAAGGGGTCATATGATGTTGCTAAAAAGAACATTATTTGGTGTAATGAAATATTTTCCACATACTGTACATTATTGTTTCTCCTCTATGCCCCGCCTTTCTGAAACGCATAGATTTTAGAACATTGCTATAACCTTTCAAGTTTAAAAACAAACCATATTTAGACTTTGACAGTACCTTCCTAAAGAAACCATCAATCCCACCAAATATCACAATGTTGAATCTAAGGGAAAATTCAGATATAAAACCATTCTGTCTACTGTTAGTAATTGATATGTTTAGTGTACATCTGGATGTATTAGTGTGTGAATAAAGTACGATTTTCTTTGTGTGTGTGCATGCAAATGAGAATAAGAAAGCAAATACTCACGTGATTAGTTTATGGTTGGTATCCACATGAACAAGCGACAATGGTGCAGGAACCGATTAAGTTCTACGGGCTATAAAACCAAGCTGGACCATTCTGGCCAAAATTCCAGCTCCATCCACCCGCTGCATACTGGCCTTCAATCTGCGCCATTGTATACGGTGCCCTCTTGCCAGAAGTTCACCTTTTACAAGTCTGTATCCAGCATGGGGCATTCTTAATTTTATTGCCCTCACGAGACGATCAAGTTCATTATCAGATATATTGGAACAGCAGCCTCTGACAGAGAGGGAGTGCTCCTTCAGCCTTCTGTTAAGTGTTCGTCTAGAAACACCACAGAGCTCTGCAAGAGTTTCTACAGGAAGAGCAGTAGAGAAAAGTTCTTTAAGGTCATCCCTGTGGATATCCAAACGTGGGCGTCCAAAGTTACGATAGTCAGTGTCGGGGGTAACTCGTTACAAGTTACAGAAAACAAAGTAACTGGCATTACTTTTTTAATTTACAAGAAAATATCTGAGTTACTTTTTCAAAAAAGTAATGCCAGTTACTTTGTTTTTACATAAAAAGTAACTAAGTAACGCAATTAGTTACTTTTTTAGGGAGTAACGCAATATTGTAATGCATTACTTTTAAAAGTAACTTTCCCCAACACTGGTGATGGTTACAATTTCAGATAAATTCACTGAAGATTCTTCTGAACTCAGAGATATTAGTTAGGTTTATTAACTCCTGTAGACCCGTTATTAATTCCCCTGGGATGTCAACATGATTTGATGCAGCAATTGCCAATGTTAGTTCTTGCTGAGCAACATCCAGAAGGTAATCCATGTCTATAGTTTCATTCCGACAAATTGAGTAAAACTTAGTTAGCATACGCTGCAAGATATGTTCTCGCACTTGTTCCTGCAGGTATAAACAATGCATAGTTAGCCTACATCTCAGGCTGAGTACATAATTCCATGCTGAACTTATTAGATTTTAAATCTAATAAAATCACCTGTTAAAAACACCTAAAAAGTTACCAAAGCCCCTTTAAATTTGTATTTTATATACACAGAACAACATGAATTGGAGAAGTGACATGTCTCTTTGGTCCTGATAAGTAATATCAAAAGAAAAGAGAATTAGGCGAAAATCTTACTTTTGTTTTTGTATGGACAATCATAAAGATAGAATTGTTTTCTTAACCAGAATAACGACACTGTGTTATCATTAACGTAAATACAAAAGAAGACGATTTACAATTAAAGAAAGATCATTACGAAGCGTTGCGTTTCACATTCAGCAGCCTAAAATATATGCCGAAGTATACTTTGGCACCAATGGTCTCTAACGCAACGATCTTAGCTCGCGATGCTTTTAAGAAACGCAGTCCAGTTCATATAAGTAAAGAACGATCTAAATAAAGACACAACTGTTGCATTCTGCACAGGAATAAAACTTATATCTCGATTTTTCTATTTATTATCTTAGTTATAACAAACTTACCTCAGGCTGCCTCGAATGTCCTGCCGAGGAGGATGTTGACGACGCTCCGTGAGCCTCCCGATTACTCATCTCGAATAACCCTATTCTTCTTCTTCTGATGTGAAAAATATCTGTTTTATCATTAATGTTCTTTAATATACTCTTATTACCATTTACTTACAGCTCCACAGTCCAGACATGCACCCGCGCCACTGAAACACTACTTCCGGTTCAATGAGCCACCGATCAAAAAAAATCTCACGAGCCAATAAGAGCGAACCGCTGTTAAGCCCGCCCTCACGAGAGGTTTGTGCCAGAATGGCGAACGTAAATTTGCGAAGCGCAAACAAAAACTTGGAAAACGAAAACGCTGGCAGCGCATTCAAAACTGCGTTTAGCGAAAGTGAAGCTGAAAGTGAAGTCAACAAAGAATGCAGTTTATTTGAAGACGATGTTACTTTTTTTGCTATTTAGTTGATTGTTTTTACTTTAAGTGTTTTTCTCATTTATCAATGTATATTTTTGTTCGTTTTCGCAAAAGTTTCGTTCATTTTATTTGGCACAAATCTGATTCCATAGTTTACGAGGTTACTAGCCAAAACCGCGTATTTTGACATAATTGTGTGTGTTTTCGTCCGTTGAAGCGCTACTGGTGCGCTGTCTAAGCGGCTCAGCATCTGCGTAATAGCCGAACGAGCGACCTTTTAAAGGGTTCATATGATGCTTTTTTAAAGATCATTATTTTGTGTATTTGGTGTAACAGAATATGTTGACATGCTTTAATGTTTTTAAACTATAGCCTACGTCACTGCACCATTTCTGCGGCATAACCCCATGTATGTGTCGCCATATTTCTCGGGTTATGAAGAATAAAGAAGGGAAACGTTAATCTTCCGAAGATCAAGATGATCTTGTCTTCGAAAAAGATTATTTTATTCGCTTACGCCAGAAACAGAATCTCTTTAAAAACGGGCTGTTGTTCCCACTAGAGACCTGAACTCCCGCGGGAGTACCGCGGGACCCAACGCAACAGGGTGCGGCGCGGGACAACTCTTGATGGGCGAGTGCGGGTGCGGGCGGGAAGAGATTCGTGTGTGTGCGGGATGCGGGAGAATAAAATGATTCTCGGGACTCCCACAAAATAGAAATTATCTAAACATAAAGTGTCTAAAACATATACATTGTTATTTATCTGTTCACGAATCCTTTTATTTTAGCACACGAAGTGTAGACACTGTGAAAGATTCATTGTGCATATATTTATTGTGTTATAACAGAGCTTTATGAGATCGCGATTAACTGAGATGTCAGCTTTTAGTGATAATAAAGGAAGCGCGCTGCTCGCATTCTGCCATACCATGCATGCAGCAGCCCATGCTTGCTTTTAAATTAAAAATTAAATTTATGCATTTAGCAGACGCTTTTATCCAAAGCGACCTTTTGTTGTTTGCTTCTATTGACATCATTTGTAAGTCGCTTTGGAAAAAAGCGTCTGCTAATGACTATATGTATGTATGTATACGTGTGTGTGTGTGTGTGTGTGTGTGTGTGTGTGTGTGTGTAAACACTGGACTGAATATCGGCTTGCCATTTGTGCTGCTAACGCAATGCTCTACCACTGAGCCCACAGGAACATTTCTGTTAAAAATAACAGTGGTTTGTGAATGTCGATGCTTAGCCTAAATAACAAATATTTTATCGGGAGGGTTTATGCTGGGTTGGTTGGTTTTTGTTACAGACAAAAATCAGTCCCGCGCAGGTCTCTAGTTCTCACTACATTGCATTGTTATATTTCGTAAAAGTTTTACCCGCCAAATGGCGACTGACACGTTACATATACTCGCCAACGCTGATTTTTACTCGCATTTGGAGCTTGGTGAGTTTTAATTTTAGGCCCTGTATAAAACTGACTATCGGCTTGCCAGTGGTGTAACAAATGTCTGCAGAACAAAATGAATAAAACATATACATTAAACATTCGACAAAGCTCAAGTTAAAATATTTTGTCAGTCATTGTTTTTAAAATGTTCATCTTCCACTTCAGAGTTTAAGTAGCTGACAGACGGACAAACCACTATATCAAATAATGAATAAAAAGAAATGTATTTACCCTTTTCCACTCTGTGAGAGTGCACGCACAGATCTCCGATTCCTCTGACCAAGTTACAACCTATATCAGACGTTATGATTTCGATCAGATGCTTCGGCTGTATCGGTTGACGAGTCAACGTGATTTTGACGTTGAATCGATGTTTTATTTTTGGCGAAAGAATGTTCTGATGTATCGACTGGATAATGAATGTTGATTCAACGTCGAAATTTGATTGACGACTGATACTGACCTTTACAACCAAAAATCGACGTTGAATCAACGTCTGCTTGCTATCTGGGTTATCAGTGATATTTACAGCTTACTTGATACATTTACACCTCAGAAGGATTGCAAACACCAATGACCGGGTATAACACATTCAAAACATTTACACCAGAGCAGATATTCGCGAACAGAAGCTTAGTTCTAGTCATAAACACAAGCATGCTTTGTATGTAGGCCTATTATACAATACAAAAACATTTTATATACGGGAAACTATATTTATAAACATCTACATATATTCGCGAACAGAGAATATCAAAGTAAAGTTTTGTCTAATCATTCTTTCTCTAACATTAGGCTATTAACATTATAACTCATATTACTTTTATATCGTATTACTGTCTATTTTATAGAACATAAAAAAAAAACATCCTGGCATCGTGAGACATTTAGATGCAGTGAATGAAACTTCATAATGTTTCACTTGATTATACATTTAGTCAGGAATTATAGTTTGGAAAAA